GCATAGATTACATATATAATATAAAAATAAATCATAGGTTGCCAGTGAATCAACACTTATTATTATTTAATATCCTTCTATGTCTTTTGTGACAGTTTTGACTTAAAGCATAGTCTATAAAATAGGACAAGTTTTCCCTCAAAATACATTGTGCCTAATTGTGACCTCCCCTGTTCTCATTTGATTAATATTTGCATGCAATATCTTTTTTTGTCCTGCCACTTTTATTCCATTTTTGTTGTTTGATGTAAGGTGCATCTCTTGGAAAGAGTATATAGTTGGATCTTGTTTTTTTTTTATTTTCTTAAATCCCTGTCTTTATTCAATTTACATGTTTTGATTGTGAAGTTTAGTCCATGAATATTTACATAATTTTTTGAAAGGAAAGGACTTACTATTGGCATTTTATTAAATGTTTTGATTCTTGTAGCTATTTTGCCCTCTCTTGCTGCCTTCCTTTATATCTCACTGATTTTTATAGTTATATACTTTGACTCCTTTCATATTATTTTAGTGTATCTCTATAATAGGTATTTTCATGGTGGTTACCATAGCAATTATACCTTATAGTTAAAACAACACATTTTAAAGTGGTAATAAGTTAATTTTAGTTGCATGTAAAAACTTGTCCTTCTTACTTACCTCTGTCCTCAACTTTGTTATTGGTATCACCAATTATATCTTGTTATATTCTAACCAATAGAGTTTTAGTATTATTTATCTGTTTCTGTTTTCACATCTTATAGCATGATTAAAAGTGTTTTCTGCACCATTATTTTAATAGTACAGAATTTTACCTAGATGTGCTTGTGTGTCTATATAAGAGATTTATTTAGTTTCATATAATTTTGTATTGTTTTCTGGCATTTTTAAATTTTCAATGAAAGAGAGTCCCTTTGGCATTTCTTGTGGGAAAGGTCTAGTGGTGATAAAGTTTTACAGCATCTAGTTATCTTGATAATTGTCTATTTTTCTTCACTTAGAAGGGCAATTTTGCTGGATATAGTATTTCTTCTTTGAAGTTTTCCTTTCAGCATTTTGACTATATCACCCAACTCTTTTTCTGGCACGCAAGGTTTCTCTTGAAAAACTCACTGATAATCTCACAGGAGCATGCTTATAGATGACACATCACTATTCTCTTGCTGCTTTCAAGATTCTCTTCTTTCGTGTGACTTTGATAACTTTTTTTATAATCTGTCTTGTTACAGCTCACTTTGTGCTTACTGTAGCTGAAGTATGCTAAGCTTTTAATTTTTTATGGCTTTTTTTCTTATATTTGAGAATAGCTCAGTCATTTCTTATTATATTCTTCAGCTCCACAATGTATCTTTTTTATGATTTTTTGTAATATTCTCATTTTCCTGATTTTATTTAGTTGTTTCTATTGCTAATTCAGCCTCATTCAGATGGTTGTTTTTAATATTTTCAGGTAATTTCTACCTCTTCATTCCTTTATGGCTGATTTCTGATTATTTATAGTGTTTCTGTACTTGGGCTATATTTCCCTGAAATTTTGTGTATGTTGTAACCTTAGTTGAGATTTGAGCATTAAGAAAAGCCACCTTTCACGAACTTTATAAAATGGCTTTGTCCTGGGGGACTCTGACACCAATTCACTTTACTAGAGATATAAGGGACCTCAAATCCATTCTGAGGATTTTCTTCTGTGGAATTGTGTGTTTACTTTCTAGTTAAAGCAGTTTTCCCACATTTCATCTTAAGAGACTGTCATCGTTTGCTACACCTGTTCTCTGTTTGTGGTACTGAAGGTTATCTGCTGCTGTAATGACTTTTTACCTTTGCTTTCAGTACACCCAGTCTGTCTTTGTAAGTAGAGCACCATTCCTTTCAGCACTCTGTGATATGGGACACAGAAACTGGGGTCTTTGGAAGGACCCCCCAAACCCAGAATGATGGTTACTATTTTCTTTCTCTATTGAGGGAGAAGCTGGGAGTTGGGATTTTACTTCCATATACAACATACTGCATTAAGGAGGAAAGGCCATGGTAGGCAAACAACAAACATTTCTTCCCTTTCTATATGGCACTTGGTGTTGTGCTCTCCTGGTATGCTGCAAGCCTGGTTTTTAGAATTCCCACAAAAGCAAATTGGTCAGTATGGTTTTGTTACTTTTTTTATCTAAAAGAGAATTGTAGTATCTATATTGTATTATGCCATTTTGCTAATGTGCTTGGTATGGTTTTAAATTTTAAATTTGTAATATATATTCATGAGATTGTAAAAAAAGAAATAAGTTGGATAATTTGGGATAATTTATTATTGTTGAAATTTCTTTCAGCTATACCCTCTCATTTCACCCAACACCATTTGCCAGAGCAAGGGATACCAGTTTCATTCCAAAATGTGGCACTAAGAAGATATGAAGACTGTGGCCTTGAGAATGTAAACGTAGTGAAAGACTGGGAAATCGTGAGTGAGTGCAAGGAGCAGAAAGGATGTAATGATGGACTTCACCAATATTCAACAACTACCCATGGCAAAATCTTCCAATGTCATAAGTGTTTGAAAGTCTGTAAAAAATTGTCAAATCTAAACAGACATAAGATGAAACATACTGTAGAGAAATCTGTTAAATGTAAAGCATATGGGGAAGCGTTTAACCAATGCTCACACATTACTGAACATAAGAGAATTCATAATGGAGAGAAAAATTACAGTTTTAAAGAATGTGACCAAATCTTTAAATCTTGTTCAAGCAGTTCTAATCATGAGATAATTTTTACTGGTGAGAGATGGTGTAAGTGTGAAAATTACGGCAAAGATTTTAACGACAGTTCAAACCTTTATACACATATGAGAATTCATACTGAAGAGAAACCCTACAAATGTGAAGAATGTGGCAATGGCTTTGCCTGGTCCTCAAACTTTAATGTACATAAGAGAATTCATACTGGAGACCATTATTTTAATAGTACAGAATTTTACCTAGATGTGCTTGTGTGTCTATATAAGAGATTTATTTAGTTTCATATAATTTTGTATTGTTTTCTGGCATTTTTAAATTTTCAATGAAAGAGAGTCCCTTTGGCATTTCTTGTGGGAAAGGTCTAGTGGTGATAAAGTTTTACAGCATCTAGTTATCTTGATAATTGTCTATTTTTCTTCACTTAGAAGGGCAATTTTGCTGGATATAGTATTTCTTCTTTGAAGTTTTCCTTTCAGCATTTTGACTATATCACCCAACTCTTTTTCTGGCACGCAAGGTTTCTCTTGAAAAACTCACTGATAATCTCACAGGAGCATGCTTATAGATGACACATCACTATTCTCTTGCTGCTTTCAAGATTCTCTTCTTTCGTGTGACTTTGATAACTTTTTTTATAATCTGTCTTGTTACAGCTCACTTTGTGCTTACTGTAGCTGAAGTATGCTAAGCTTTTAATTTTTTATGGCTTTTTTTCTTATATTTGAGAATAGCTCAGTCATTTCTTATTATATTCTTCAGCTCCACAATGTATCTTTTTTATGATTTTTTGTAATATTCTCATTTTCCTGATTTTATTTAGTTGTTTCTATTGCTAATTCAGCCTCATTCAGATGGTTGTTTTTAATATTTTCAGGTAATTTCTACCTCTTCATTCCTTTATGGCTGATTTCTGATTATTTATAGTGTTTCTGTACTTGGGCTATATTTCCCTGAAATTTTGTGTATGTTGTAACCTTAGTTGAGATTTGAGCATTAAGAAAAGCCACCTTTCACGAACTTTATAAAATGGCTTTGTCCTGGGGGACTCTGACACCAATTCACTTTACTAGAGATATAAGGGACCTCAAATCCATTCTGAGGATTTTCTTCTGTGGAATTGTGTGTTTACTTTCTAGTTAAAGCAGTTTTCCCACATTTCATCTTAAGAGACTGTCATCGTTTGCTACACCTGTTCTCTGTTTGTGGTACTGAAGGTTATCTGCTGCTGTAATGACTTTTTACCTTTGCTTTCAGTACACCCAGTCTGTCTTTGCATTTGACCATACATGCAAGGGTTTTATGTCTGTCCTGCATTTTGTTTCATTGGTCTAAGTTGTCTGCCTTTATGCCAGTAGCAAACTGCTTTGATTACTGTACCTTTGTAATATGTCTTGAAATCAGAAAGTGTGATGCCTACAACATTGTTTCTTTTTGTGAAGATTGTTGGGCTGTCCATGCTACTTTGCCTTCCATATTATTTTTGAAATGCTTCTTTGTTTCCATAATATGACATTGATAATTTTAAAGAGGTTGCTTTCAATTTGTGTATCAGTTTGGGCAGTATGGACATCTTCACAATATTCAGACTTCCAACCCTTGATTAACACCATGCTGAAAAGTCTGCCATTTAATTTTCATTTATTTGTAGATGATCTGGTTTTCCTTTTGTT